GGTGGCTTTGAACTCACAGAAATCCATCTGCCTCTGTCTCAGAAGCACTGGGATTAAAGGTGTGACCACCACTGCCTGTCCTCTTTGGCTAACTAGTGGCTTAGCTCTGCACTCTGATCTTCAGGCAAGCTTTATTTGTTAGATCGTAAACAAAACATCACCACAGATGCTGAGATGGGATTTTGGCTCAAGGGATTCCCTCCCTTAAAAGAAAAGGAAAAAGAACAGAAAAGCACAGACTTCAAATTGCAAGGCTTAGTCAGCAGGAAGCACTGGATGAGAAATGACCTTGCCCTTTCCTATCTTGTTTATTTCCCAGATGCACCAGAACACCCAGGAGGTGTAATCTTGGGTAAGGCTACTCCCTGCAGTGAAGGCAGACTTTGACATCACAGCCTGCAGCACACTGTCAGCTGACTGGACTCGGAGCAGCTGGGCAGAAACTCCTACCTGGAGGATGGGAGACCAGGTCAGTCCATGTCCTCCCCAGAAGCTTCGCTCTCAGGCGTTCCGAGGCCTTTTTTTCTTACTACGAGTCTGCCTACCACGGGGACTTCATACCAGGGCTCTGTTCTCATGTCTGGACCTTGGTAAAGCCCTACGGGTTTATTCAGTTCTGTATTCTAAGGTGCTCCTGACTGAACTTATAAATTGCCAGAGTGACAGGCAGGTGGTTTAAGGAAATAGGTTTTCACTTTAGGTAATTTCAGACATTAAGAAAGGAGGCAGTACTGTATGGAGTTGGCAATAATATCACCACACAATAAGAATCACACACCATGAGGATGCTTTTATGTTGTGAGGGAGAGGCTGCTCTGAGATTTTTTATCTGGAGGATGCGATGTGTGACTTTGACAATTCAGTCTTCAGCTTAGTACAGGAGACTCGCTTACCTCCACTGACTGCATTTTGTTGCCATGACATCTTCCGTAGTCTTGGCTTTGTAGATGAATTCAGATACATTTAATCTACATATTGCATCAGTTGTTAGGTAACCTATAAGTTGATGTAGCTATTATTTATAGTAATTCTTTTTTTTTAAGATTTATTTATTACGAACATAGGTTCTGCCTACATGTGTGCCTGCAGGCCAGAAGAGGGCATCAGATCTCATTAAGGATGGTTGTGAGCCACCATGTGGTTGCTGGGAATTGAACTCGGGACCTCTGGAAGAGCACTCAGTGATCTTAACCGCTGAGTTATCTCTCCAGCCCCCCCCTTTTTTTTTTCTTCCAGATGGATTTTGCTGTGTAGCCCTGGCTGTCCTGGAACTCTCTCTGTAGATCAGACTGGCCTCGAACTCACAGGGATCCACCTGCCTCTGCCTCCTGAGTGCTGGGATTAAAGGAAAATGCCACCACCACCCAGCTGCATGTTCCTTTGTCTTTAAATCAGGATCTGAACAGAGAATGAGATCACCGGGTGCAGTATTAGGCACGAGTGGGTGCACGGGGTTAGGCGACCCATCTCTGAATTGCTTCTCTATCAGCGTATATCTTCTCATGCTTTCAGAAGACAAATTTAAACCTTACCAGGCTCTTATCATTTTATTTATGTGTGTGTGTGTGTGTGTGTGTGTGTGTGTGTGTGTGTGTGTGTACATGCATACTCTGGAGCTGCAGTGGGATGTGCTAGTCAGAGGACAGCTTGAAGGGGCGTTGTCTCTCCCTTACTCTGTGTGAGTTCCAGGGATTGAATGCAGGCCTTTAGGGTTTGTGGCAAGTACCTTTACCTCTGAACCATCTTTCTGGCTTGTCTGCCTGCCTGTCTGTCAATCATCGTGAGTGTATGTGTGAGTAAGTGTTAGTGCCTTGAAGTCAGAGTGCAGTTTACCAGAGTTGGTTCTCTCCTTCCACCCTGTGGACCTGGTGGTCAACTCTGATGGTTTGGGCCTGGTGTTCATACAAGCCTGTGCATATGTGCTTTCATGATACAAGCCTGTGCATATGTGCTTTCATGATACAAGCCTGTGCATATGTGCTTTCATGATACAAGCCTGTGCATATGTGCTTTCATGATGTGTGCACACGTGTCACGGTGCATATGTGGAGGGAGTCAGCTCTTTTCTTTCACTTCCACTAAACTCAGGTCAGCAGGTTTGCAGGGCAAGCACCTCACTCACTGAGCCATCTCACCTACTCATTTACGGCTAATTTAGAAGATCATTAGTTCTCAATTTGATTCATGAGGTTTTTGTTTTTGTTTTTGTTTTTGTTTTTTGTTTTTTGTTTTTGTTTTTTCGAGACAGGGTTTCTCTGTGTTGTTTTGGAGGCTGTCCTGGAACTTGCTCGGTAGACCAGGCTGGTCTCGAACTCACAGAGATCCTCCTGCCTCAGCCTCCCGAGTGCTGGGATTAAAGGCATATGCCACCAACACTGGGCTTCATGAAGTCTTTAGTATTGAACATGAACAAGAGTGATACTTAAAATTGCTAAGTGTTCTCAATTTATTATGGGTTTCAATTTTTAAGATTTTGATTTTATTTCTTTACTTATTAACTCCTTTTGTTGTTGTTTTGTTTGTTTGGTTTGGTTTTTTGCCTCTACCTCCTGAATGCTGGCCTTAAAGGTGTGAGGCACCACTGCCCGGCTTAGTTTTATTATTTTCAATTATGTGTCTGTGTGTAGGTTTGTGCACATGAGGAGCAGGCACCCTCAGAGGCGACAGATCCCTCTGGCTACTGGGGACTCAAAACTTGGGCTCTCCACAAGAGTATAAGTGCCCTTTACAGACGAGCCGCTTCTGGTGCTTCTAATATTGACTTGGATAAAATAAACCGTGCAAATAACTTCACACCAATTTTGGAGGATGAAGAGTTAACCCTCTCTCTCACTGACAGGTCTTAACCCTGACTGATCTGGAACTTTCTTCATAGACCAGATTGGCTTGGAATTCACAGAGGTCCTGCCTCCCTAGAGTGCTAAGATTAAAGGCATGTACAACCACACCTGGCCCGGAAGAGCTGATTGCTATTTACATGTCATTAACAATGACATTTCAGACTTGTGAAGTCGCTCAAGAAGTTCAGTTAACACTGCGCGTTTGCGCGCACGTGCGCACATGTGCGCACGCGTAATTGTGAAGTGCTCTGTTGCAAGCCAACTGACTCTGAAGTGCATGTTTGATCGGATTTTTTTTTTTTTTTGGAAATGTACAAACCTTATCTCGGAGAGAGCAGATTTCCACGGGTAAACAAACCAGCAGGCAATCGTATTTCTGTTCTTTTAGGACTTTGGAAGCAAAGGTACTTTAGCTTGTCGGAGGTGGTGGGGGGATGGATATGTGTTATTTCTGTCTGGCACCAAAGTGCAGTGTGCTGCTTTGGGACCCGTGGACCTTCAGATTAGTCCCTTAAACAAAATTTCCTAGTATAGGACTTTGATCTTTTAAAGCAACAGCAACATTCAAATGACTCGATTTTCATAACTTTTTTTTTTTTTTTTTCCGAGATAGGGTTTCTCTGTGGCTTTGGAGGCTGTCCTGGAACTAGCTCTTGTAGACTAGGCTGGCCTCAAACTCACTGAGATCCTCCTGCCCCTGCCTCCTGAGTGCTGGAATTAAAGACGTGCGCCACCACCGCCGGATTTTATAACTCACTTTTAAATAACATATGCTCACTGGGTTTTACAAAAGAAAGCTATGAAGAATACATGCTGAAATCACATTTCCATCTACAAGGAGTGCAATCAGTGCTCTCCATCTCTCACTTCCCTTCCATCCACTTTCAGAAATACACCTGTAATCTTAAATGCCTTCTGCTTTTCCACAGCAGATGACTTAACACACAGTAGTTACTGTGTTGCTTTTTCACAGTACATACGTTTAGATTTATTTTTCATTCACTACATAATATTGGGTGACTTAGCCTGCCTCTACTGTGGCTAATATACAAATATCGAGGTGATAATATCACCTACCCCAGGGAGCTGGCATGAAGTTCAAGTCAGATCATGTATCTGTACACATTATCTAGGTACTTTAGGTAATATGTAGACCTTAGTAAATAATTACTATGTTTTAACTGTTATTCTAATTATGGCTTCATAGTAATACTGAAGATTTTTTAAGATACCAAAAGGAATAGTTTTTCTGATAATCATATTTCAAAATCATACTTTTAACATGTATTAATAGTGTTTTGTATGACTATATACCTTCTCCTTTTCAATATCATGTGCACATCAGTTGTTTCCAATTTAATTTCTATATTTGAAACTTTTTTTGCAAAGGAGTAAATTCATTTTGGATTATGCATTTAACTTTTAAAATTACATTTCTTTATTACACTCTCTGCTGTGTCTCTGTCTCTGTTTCTGTCTCTCACTCTCTCTTTCTCTGTGTGTGTGTATGTGTGTGTGTGTGTGTGTATGTATGAGTATAGATCAGACTACTACTTGTGGGAATCCATTCTGTCCTTCTACCCAGGTAATATTAAACTCCGGTCATCAGCCTTCATGGTGAATGCATTTATTCACTGCATTATTCACTTATTTTTCTGGCTATACTATACCTTCTCTTTTGAAGATAGAAATTGCGGGCGTTGGTGGCGCACGCCTTTAAGACCAGCACTTGGAGGCAGAGGCAGGCGGATCTCTGTGAGTTCGAGACCAGTCTGGTCTACAAGAGCAAGTTCCAGGACAGCCTCCAAAGCCACAGAGAAACCCTGTCTCAAAAAAAAAAAAAAAAAAAAAAAGAAAGAAAAAAAAAAAAGAAATGAAGTTAGAAATTGCATGCAGTAAATATTTGGTTTTGTACTTGCTGACTGATCTGCCTGAAGACAATGGTAGAGATTAACTACCTCTCTGTGGTGGCTTTAAAAACTGTCCTGCTGAGCAAAGGTGCCTTTAAGTGAGTCAGTTTCACATGGGCTACTTTATAAAACATTAGTCCAACTAAAAATCCCCGTTAATTATTAAGCCCTTCTGTATTATCTGGCTAACAGACACTGCAGGTTAAGACCAGAGAGTGTTAATTCCTGAAGCTAAGCCATTACACCGACAAGTAAATGTAGCTAAAGAGGAACTGAAAATTACTCAATCTCTTCCTCTTAAACTACCGAAGAGAATATCTGCTGTTTTGCTGGCATGTCTGTGACCTAACAAGCATTTTAATGCTTGTTTAGGATTCCTGGTGTCTTGTCTAACCATGGCGGAGATTAGTGTTGGAAGAACCCTTCTTTTGGTTATTTCTCTGGTCAAGTGTCTGGAAGGTACGGAGCTGCTGGCACACCTCAAAAAGTGTGGTGACTTGGAATGTGAAAGTAAGTTTTCGTCTTCGTTTTTTTACATTGAGTTCTAAAATTACACTAAATATTACTGTGAACCTGTATGATGAAATCAACAATAATAATATTGAGAAATAGTTGAATTACAAACTACAGCTTGATATGAAAAAGGAATTCTAGAAGCAAAACATTTTGTGACAGCATTATTATAAATTTAACATAGAAGACAAACATAAGACTGATATAGAAATGTGTCAGAAATGGTATTCATCCATGTATCAAAAACTAATAAAAAATAAAACTTTTACTCTTTTTTTAAAAGATAAGTTGAGTTGCTTAAGAAGATAGCAGGCAGTTTGGTAATTCACTATTTATGAAGTTTCTACATTTTAGTTCCTATTTCACAATCAGGACTTTCTGATTCTCGTGAGTTTTCCCAAAAATGTTTTTATTTCAAACATCATGATTTAGTTGGCTAACAAATGTTAATCACTTGTGTTAATTTGTTATGTAAAAATGCCAAAATAAATGTTCCAATATAGATATATATGATTTATAACATTCTATTTTAAATGTTCTTGCATTTCTCTGATGAGAAATTAATTTCTACTTTGTTGTTTAAGAACTTACATTTAAAATTTTATTTTGTATATGGGTATTTTGCTTACAGGTATGTATGTATGTATGTATGTATGCATGCATGTAATATACAACATATGTGCATAGTGATCCAAAAGAGGGCATTGGATTCCCGGGCACTTAAATTGCAGACAGTTAAATGACCTGCCATGTGGGTGCTGAGAGCTGAACCTGAACTTAAGTTTTTTTTTTTTTATCCATATGATGATACAGAATAATTTTATCCTGTTTAGTATAGTGGCACACAGCTTTAGTCCCAGCACTCAGGAGGCAGAAGCAGCGAATCTCTAGTCCCAGCTTGTTCCACATAGTGAGTTCTTCAAAAGTTTCAAAATAAAAGAATAGCAAAAACAGAAAAAGAAAATATTGTATCTTCATCTTAGATGTTGAAAATAAGTTCTGTCTTTCCCACATGAAAGCTATTTCTAATTTTGTAAAATGTAAATTAAAATACAAAGTATAATCATATAAAACAAAAAATTGCTAACATATATATAGGAAAGATTTCCTTACCTCTATTCTACGTGTAAAGGCACTGGGTATGTGCTTGGTTCCCTCAGAGGTCAGAGAAGGTTCTGACTCCACTGACTGGAGTCATAGATGGCCACAAGCCAGGGTTTGGATGCTGGGAATTGAACGGAGGTGCTCTAGGAGAGCAGCCAGTGCTCCCATGTTCTCAGCCGTCTCTCCAGCCCCAGTCATTTTATTTATTTATTTTGTGTGTAGTCTTGGCTGTCCTGGAACGCACAATGTAGACCAGGCTGGCCTCAATCTCAGAGACCCATCTGCCTCTCTCTGCCTCCTAAGTACTGGGGTTTAAGGCTTGCACCACCACTGCCTGGCCTGGGCAGTAATATTTTTTCTTTTCTTTCTGTCTTTCTTTCTTTTTTCTTTTTTTTTTTTTGAGACAGGGTTTCTTTGTATTGTTTTGGAGGCTGTCCTGGAACTCTGTAGACCAGGCTGGCCTTGAACTCACAGAGATCCACCTGCCTCTGCCTCCTGAGTGCTGGGATTAAAGGCGTGCTCTACCCCGCCTGGGTAGTAATATTTTTATGAATAAAACTTTAGTAACCTTTCTCAGAAGTCATTTGAAACATGTTTGCTACATATTTCTTTTTTTTTTCTTTCCTTCCTTTCCCTTTCCTCCTCCTTTTTTTTTTTTTTCTTGAGGCAGTTTCTATACATAGTCCTGGGTGTTCTGGAACTCTCTGTGTACACCAGGTTGGGCTTAAACTCATAGAGATCTGCCTGTATCTGCCTCCCAAGTTGCTGGGATTAAAGTGTTGTGCCTCTAGTCCCTACCAACTACATGGAATTTTATAATAAAGATCCTTTAATTTTTCTCTAATAACGGCATGTTACATTTTAATAGTGTTTTATTTATCCTTTGGCAATTTCATTCATTTATACAATGTGTTTTTGATAATGTCTAGCCCATAATCCCATTTCCAACTCTACCTGCAGCCTCTGCAGCATCCTCTGTTCAAATTCATTTTCTCTTTTTTAATTTTTTAAAGAAAGTTCTTCTTAAAAACGCCTTTAATCTCAGTACTCCTGGAGGCAGAGGGGCCAGTCTGGTCTACAGAGCGAGTTTCAGGACAGCCTCTAAAACAATACAGAGAAATCCTGTCTTGAAAAACAAAAACAAAACAAAAAAACCAAAAACAACAAAAAAAGTTTATCCATTTTATTTTACGTGTGTTTTCTGCATACTACTTGCATGCCTGGGGCTGACAGAGGTCAGATGAGGGCATGGAATCCCCTGGAATTGGTGTTACCGATTGTTGTGAACCACCGTGTGTGTGTGTGTGTGTGTGTGTGTGTGTGTGTGTGTGTGTGTGTGTGTGTGTGTGTGTGTGGCCATCCATCCGAGCATGCACAACCTTCCAGCGGCCACACCCCTGAAGAAAAATGACTCTTCCCCCAGAAGTCATGGACTCGGTAGCTCCTCAACTGGCAGGTGGGGTTCGTGAGCCCCCTACTCTGTTGTGGGCTGTCAATGGCTTCATCTTATCCAGGTCTTTGGCAGGCTACAACAATTGCTGTGACTTTGTGAGTGTCACAGCCACATCACATCCAGAAGATGGCATTTCAAAAAGCTAAAGATGATCAGCTTAAATGTAAAAATTTCCCAAGTGATATTTTTATGCATAGTCCTTTTTTTCTTAACCTCTTGGAAAAGTCATTCAATATGTAGAGACCACGGTGCTTTACAGTGACAATTCCACTTCGAGTTATATCAGCACTTTAATATCTTTAGAGTCCAATGGGAATTCAAGTTCACAGTAATTTATAATGCTACTTTGACTCTTATTGAGGGACTTAATCAGTACACTTTTAAATTTTACACATTAGTACCGTAATAGTTATATGATATGTATGTAACTTTAGACACTGATGGTCTGAAGCAAGCATACGTGATATACTCAAGAGTTATTGAGGGCTTACTATGTCTCTAGGTTATGTTTTTAATACAGTGTGTCTTAAAGGTAACAAAGTGCAATGCCAACTGTTTTTTACTCTGTAGGAATAGTCATTTCATTTAATAATGACAACACAGATCAAGGTGAAACAATAGGGATATCAAATTGTAAGGATAGCAGGTAATGCTACAGTTCAGACTCAGAGAGGAAGCAAGGTATGAGCTAAGCAAGAAGAGAGATGGGCTTTTTTTCTGGACAGAGGGAAGATAGATACTTAGGATAAGGAAGGTGATGTAAGTGAAGTCTCAGGATAAATCTAGCCAACCAGAGCCTTAGCTAGCCCCCTAAGCCTTGGCTAAAGGCTCACTTGTCAGAACGAAATGGGGTTGTTTACCTTATAGACGTGCACTGAGGACTTAACAGAATGAAAATATAATGCTTAGGAATGTAAAGATACCAGAAAGAAAGCCAGCATCCTACACACAGCATCCTCAGTGGTGACTCCTCTGAGTACAACAAGCTGGAGTGTAGCCCTGAATTTGTGCAAACAGGAGAGATTGCTTAAAATAGGGAAGGGCACAGGCTTCAGAGATGGATCTGTAGTTAAGAGTGCTTACTGCTCTTGCATAGGACCTGGGTTCAGTTCCCAGCACCCACATGGCAGCCTACAACTACCTATAGATCCCATTCTAGTGGATCTAGTAACTTCTCTGACCTTTGCGAGCACCAGGCACACACTTGTGGTGCATAGACATGCATGCAAGTGAAACACTCAAACACACAAAATAAAATAAATAGAAACATCTTTAAGACATAAAACACAACAAGGAAGGGAGAGCCTGTGCGATGACTCAGCGGGTATAGGCACTTGTCGCCAAGCCTGACAACCTGATTTGACAACCAGGATCCACAGGATATATGGAGAGAACTGACTCCCAAAAGTTGTACTCTGACCTCTATATGTACATACACACACACACACACACACACACACACACACACACACACACACGGGATCAGGTTGTAAATAATCTTTAATACTGTGCCAAAAAATCTGGGCTTGAATCTATATGTAGTGAAAAGTTTATTTTGGTTTTTGAGATCATAATATCAGTAAATTAGCATTTCAAACTTTGTTATTGTTGTTGTTATTATAGAACTAGCCTGTGTAGTTTTTTTTTTTTTCTAAGACTGTCCTGGAACTTGCTCAGTAGACCAGGCTGGCCTTGAACTCACAGAGATCCGCCTGCCTCTGCCTCCCGAGTGCTGGGATTAAAGGCATACGCCACCAATGTTTGGCACCTGTGTAGTTTGAATGTAATTGTGCCTCATAAGCTCATAGAGAGTGGCACTATTAGGAGACACAACTTTGTTGGAGTGGATATGGCCACTGTGGGGGTGACTTTGAGATTTCTTTCTTTTTTATTTACTTTTCAGTTTAAATTTAGTTTAGAAACAAGGTTGCTTCACAAGTCAGTTCCGGGTCCCTCTACCTTTCCCTCCCCTCCTCCTGTCCCCCCCCCTACTTTGAGATTTCTTATGCTCAAGATACCACCTAGTGTCACAGAACCATGTGTGCCTATACACCATGACCCCAACCACGATGATAATGGACTGAACCTCTGAACTATAAGCCACCCCAATTAAATGTTTTCCTTATAAGAGTTGCTGTGGTGGTCATGGTATATCTTTACAGCAATAGAAATCCTAACTAAGATGTAGCCCAGATTCTTGAAATCCTCCTGCCTCAGCTTCGTGAGTGCTAGGAACTATTAGGCCCAGTTATCATTTCATAATTTAAAGGATGAGCTGGGTAGTGGTGGTGCATTCCTTTAATCCCAGCACTCAGGAGGCAGAGGCAGGTGGATCTCTGTGAGTTTGAGGCCAGCCTGGTCTACAGAGCTGTTTCTGGGACTGCCAGACCTGTTACACAGAGAAACCCCGTCTCGAAAAACCAAACCAAACCAAACCAAACAAACAAAAAAGACCAAACAATAAAAAAAAAAAAGCAAACAAAATCCAAAAGCAAACATAATACTAAAAGAATGGATTGAAGGAAGGCAAAATGGACGGAAGAGTCAAGTCTAGTGGCATGTATCTATGATCTCAGCACTTGGGCGAAGTGGAAGCAGGAAGATTTTAAGTTTGAGGTCAGTAGGACACATAGCAAGACCTTGTCTGTAAGGTAAATGAGAAGCAATAACATTTCAAAGTGTGTGTTTTTCTTTGTGTGTCTATGTAGCTTTAATCAGCAGAGTCTTAGCCCTGAGAGATCACACAGGACCTGACTGCCGGTACCTGAACTTCACTGAGGGCGAAGAGATATCTGTTTATGTCAAACTTGCAGGAGAGAGAGAAGATCTGTGGGCGGGAAGCGTAAGTATGTAGTTTTAAGAACTGAATGCAGAATAAATGACCAGTTTGCACAAAGATACTCACTGTGAAACTTGCTGTATAAATGTTAAAACCCTCATCATATTTAAGCGAGCAAACAAACAAAAAGTGATTGCATGCATGCCTTTTATCCAAGCACTTGGTACAAGGCTAGCCTGGTCTACATAGCAACTTCCAGATCAGTCAGGGCTCAAAAAAAAATCACAAACATTTCTGAAAAAAAATCTAAAATTTCTGTAAAAGAAGTTTTTAGGAAATCAGCTTGAGACAAAGGACTAAAAGTGTGCCTTGAAATTATTTTTACATAATATGCACAGTTTTAAGCTTAGCGTTTGTGCTTACTTAGAAAGTCTTTAGAAGTACTGACTCCTATAATGGCAACCACACCGCTTCTCTGTGCTGTCAGTGACCAAGTTTCAGAAGGACTGAGAAGTTAGTTGATCAGATTTCAAAGTATGTCTGTCTGCACAGAGATGACTGAAGTGTGTTGGAGAAGTCAACAGAAGCTGGTACTCTAGGGAAGTAAGGTATATAAGATCTCATGGAAAACAAAAGAATAACTTCGAGATCCTTTTATTTGGCCAAACTAAAAGCAGCCCAAACTATCTCTGAGGATAATAACTACTGTTGTTGGTTGAAAAGATTTGTATCTCTGATGTGTATTATGTTGTGTAATAACGGCATGCACTGGTAGATGAGTTTACTTCCAAGCTCAACAGATATGACCAATCTGGTAGAGTCTCACAGAGTTCCCATGTCGTGTATGTATCAGGGTCTTCCCCAATGCAGTCTCTATGCTCACTGTCGGAATGAACAGTTTCATGTAGCCCAGGTCATCCATAAACTCCCCATGTGCTGATGTTGCCGGCGTACAACACCATACCCATCTGAGGGCATGGACTATCTGAAACTTTCCTCTTTGTACCAGGGCATGTGTAGCCTGCCTTTGCCACTGGCCAGATATGCTTTCTGCTCTACAGCTTCCAGGACACCTTACCACTTAGAATGGCTTTAAAAAAAAAACCAGTTTGTGTTTTGAATGCATCACAGAAATCTGTGCAGGTATAAGAAAATGACAGAGTATAAGTCATAAGAGGCTAAGAAAGCAACCTTTTTGGTTTGTTTACCAAGTGTGAAAATAGTAATTCTACACAAAATACTGTTTAATGGATAAAACTCTGGGTGAAATCTCAGTTGCTTTTAGTTTGGTCCATTACATGCTTAGTCTAATTGCTTCTCTACCTTTTTGCTAAGATGAAGTAGAGATGGATGGCCTGTACCTAATAACCATTTAAGGACTCACTAGGTCATTAGGCCCTTAAGCTAATATTATTCCATCAAATAACAAAAAACATAAGGCCTCAGTCATGTTGTTTGATTGCTGTGAGTTTGTTCGGCATCGGGGCATGAACCCAGGGCCCTGTGCACGCTAAGCAAGCACTCTATACCACTTCATTGGCTTCCCGGTCCCCACTAATGATTTTTAGGTGGCGTTTGATAGCCAATTAATGCTTTGTGATTTAATGTAGCTCACAGCCAAGGTCACGGGGCAAAGTGGGACTCAGTAGTTATTCCTGCTTCAACCACTTTTCCTTTATAGCCTTTATTCTTTGCTTTGATAGAAAGGAAAGGACTTTGGATTTTTTCCCAGAGATGCAGTCCAGATTGAAGAGGTATTCATATCTGAAGAAGTCGAAATGCCAACTAAAGTGAGTAAACTCATCCTCACCTATTAATTGAATTTAAAAAATTCTTGGCAAAATGGCTTCCTGGAATAAATGTTCATTGGTTGTGTACCTCATTTAGTGACTGTAAGGAATTATTATTAAGAACTTGTTCTTGGCACGGTTTGGGTATGTGAATACAATGAGATAAAACAGGATTGATGGCAGCTAAAGACTTTGGTTTCTGAGCAATTAACAGGACAATAGAGTACAGTGGCTTAAAGAGTGAATTCTGGATGGGCAGTGGCGGTGCACGCCTTTAATTCCAAATCATGTTAAGCTTGGTAATTAATGGAGCTGGAGAGATGGCTCTAGGGTTAAGAATACTGGCTGCTCTTCCAGAGGACTCAGGTTCAATTCTCAGCACACACATGACAGCTCACGCTTGTCTGTTACAGGGGACCTGATACCCTCACACCAGCGCACATAAAATTAAACAAATTATATATATTAAATACATATAATATATAATTATTCAGAGACACAACACACTCTAAATAAAATAAATAATTAAGGAAAAGGAAATATATAATAGTAAATACATAACAATGGAAAAGGAATCAGAAAGTGATATTTAAAATATATAGATTAGACTTGCCAATTTAATTCACGTTCCAGGTTTTGCCACAAAAGAGTAAGGTCATCGTGAAATAAGGCTTTTGCCTCCACAAGCTGTCTATTGTTGGCACTGGGATTAGCTGTCTACTTCCTGCCGGACTCTTGGCCTTGTCACTTGTATCTGTTCACAGTGTCTGTAGCACATTCTATTCTCTGTATTTCCACTCTGGTAGACCTCTTCCAAGGCATCGCTATCCCTTTTATTATTATTATTATTATTATCATCCTTTATGTGCATGATGAGGGAAGAGTCATTGCCATGGGCCTGTGGAGGACAACTTTGAGGAGTGCCTTTGCACCTTTATAGCACCCACTCCCCTGGTAATGCTAAAAGTTTTTATCCATTCACACTGCCCTCATGGCCTAATCACTTCCCACGAGGGTCCATCTCCTAAAACTGCTGCAATTAGTTTCCTATATGTGCTTTTGGGGGAAGCACATCTAAGCCCTGAAATCACTGCACAAATGGGTGCATTCACTTAGTACACTCTTAGGAGGTGTCAGATTTTGTAGCTCCTACATATATGCCTTCTCATCAGAACTTATTTGTGGAACATACTCAAACCATTAATAATCTGTGCGTCTCAACTATTTGGTAACAAATAAAGCATACTCTAAGAGTTTTCATTTAAGCTTTACCATTAATCCTTAGAAGTCAGTTTTTTTTTTCTGAGACAAGGTTTTTTTTTCTGTATTGCTTTGGAGTCTGTCCTGGAACTTGTTCTGTAGACTAGGCTGGCCTTGAACTCACAGAGATCCTCTTGCCTCTACCACCCCTCCCCCCAGAGTGTTTGGATTAAAGGTGTGTGCCACCACTGCCTGGCAGGGAGTCATTTGTGATACCTGTGTTTGAGATTCAGAGACTGAGGTTTTGCTCCGGGGTCAGTCTTTTACTTTATTTCATTTTTTTAAAGATTTGTTTATTTATTATGCATACCTCAGAATGAATTGTAGAACTTTATTTCATTTTTGAAATAGTCTTATTTACTTGTCTGTGTGAGTATATGCCACATGTTCGGGTACACAAGGAGGCAAGAGGAGGGTATTGGATTCCTTGGAACTGTAGGTCCTGAAAACTTTTCTTTTTTTAAGATTTATTTATTTAGTATAGTGATCTGTCTCTGCATGTATCCCTGCAGGCCAGAAGAGGGCACCAGATATCATTGTAGATGGTTGTGAGTCACCATGTGGTTGCTGGGAATTGATCCGAGGACCTCTGGAAGAACAGTCAGTGCTCTTAACTTCTGAGCCATCTCTCCAGCCCCTTGTTTTGTTTTCAAGATAGGGTTTCCCTATGTAGCTCTGGCTATCCTGGAACTCAGAGATCCGTCTGCCTCTGCCTCCTGAGTGCCGGGATTAAAAGCGTGCACCACCATTGGCTGGCTGCAGCAAGTCTTCTTAGCTGCTGAGCCATCTTTCTACTCCAAGATGAAGTCTTTCTATATAGACTTCTATAGCTATATATAGACTTCTATATAGCTAGCCTCAATTTCCCCAATCCTCCTGACTCAGTCTCCAAAATACTGGATTTATAGGAGTGAAACGGCACACCTGGCTACAGTCTGCTATCTTAAAACGTTTAAGGAGATTCATTTATGACCTTTTTTTTTTGTCTTTTAGGAATCTGACTTTCTTTGTCTGCTTGGAGAAGGCTACATATTTGGAAGTGAACATAGTGAGTTAAATAGCGATGATAATGGAAATATGTACCCATCTGAAGAAGATGAAGACCAAGAATATAATATATATGAAAGTGATTTTCAGCTGGAGCCTGACTTTTATTCAGCTTCTGAAGGGGCTTTGTTTGAAGACCAAATTTCAGCCTCAGAAGCTCGTGAAGAGTTCAGGGTTTCCAATGAGTCTGAGGACTGGGAAGAGGCTGGACGTGCGGGCAGTGGGGAGCAGGGTTACACTCCTGACCTAGACCATGTCTTGCCATCCCTAAGAACGTCTGAGATGCAAGGATGGTTAGGAGTGGGGAAAGAAGAAGCTGAAGAAAAGGCTTTTGAAGCACATACTGAACCCATACAAGGAAGCTCATTTCAGAGTAGAAAATTAGCAGTGGAAGAGAATGAGCCAGAGAAATTAAACAATGGTGAACCCCAAATGGAACTTGAGCAAGACTCAAAATCACAGTTTGATTCAGAGACACCAGAATTCAGTCCAGTGCCAGAGGAGCAGTACGAACTAGTGTCTGAGTCAGAGGACATCCTCAAGCCTCCGGCCACTGGCTGGTTTGATAGTGGATTTGCAAGTTTTTTGGGTTTTGGAGAGGAGGACACGGTGCATGAGTTATTGTCCAAAGAAAGCAATTCGCCATTACAAGATGTTCCCAATTCTGTTTCACCCGATGAAGAAGCCCCAGCTCCAAGCAGAGAAATATCAACAGACAAGGAGGATACAGTCATTAATGACAACTCAATTCCCAGTCCGTCTTGGTTTGACTTTAGTTTTGGTATGCTAGGCCTCGCATATGCTGATGAAGACAAAACCATTTCAAATAATGACCAGGAGAAGCGAGAAGATGGTGAGGTTGATAACCACGAACATCCTATAGCAAATGACTTTGACCCCAGAAAGGAACAAGAAAGGAGAATGATAACACTCATGGAAACAGAAGATCAGGTAGGTAAGGAAAGAGCCCTGGAGAAGACAGATAATTCCAATTCTATGCAGTACCTGAAGAAGTTCTTCTATAACCCTTGGAGTTTCCAGAGTCTCCCAGAGGACACAGAGCTACCATTTCCCACACAGATGCAGGATCAAGCGAATAGCGTTGAAAATGACGAAACTGAAACACTCTCCACTGAAAATTCTGCTGCAGAGAGCATGAAAGATCCCGTGGTGCTGGAGGACAGAGACAGCCTGTCAGGTTGGTATGAGAAGACTTACAGCATAGTCATTAATTTATTTCCATAAGTACCCATCGGATGAAAAGGTTCATGTTTGCCCTGGGGAGATGGCTCAGTGGATGAAGTGCCTGCTGTGTAAGCATGAGGAGGACTTTGGATTCTCCCCAGAAAGATAGATGAAGAGCAGGGCGGGCATGGGGGCCAGTTGCAAACTCAGCACCCAGAAGGCAGAGGCAGAGGAATACAGGGGCAAGCTGGCTGGCTAGACTAGCTGGAACTGTCAAGTTCCAACTTCAGTGAGAGACCCTGCTTCAGTAAGTAGGATGCAGAGCAACTGAGGTGGACAGAAGATGCTCACTCCGGTCTCCACATGCGCACACTCACACATACCCAAATGCCCACACGCTCTGTTTGTTTACTTAATTCATTCTTCTCTCATATATTAATTACATCCTGACCTTAGTTTCCCCTCCCTCCCACCTAACCTCCTCTTTCTCCCCCAGATCTACTCCTCCTCCATTTCTCTTAAAAAAAAAAAAAAAAAGAGCAGACCTTCCAGGGATGTCAACTGAACATGACATAACAAGTTACAATAAGACTAGGCAAACCTCTTATCAAGGCTGGATGAGGTGACCCAGTAGTGGGAAAAGGGTCCCAAATGCAGGCAAAATAGTCAGAGACACCCTTGCACACACAGCCACTGTTAGGAGTCCCACAAGAACACTATCCCACACAGCCATAGCATACATTCAGAGGGCCTAGCTCAGACCCGTGCAGAGTCTGTGACTGTTGCTTTAGTCTCTGTGAACACCTATGAGCCCTGCTTAGTTGATTCTGTAGGCCACATACACACTCTAAAAGAAAAAAAGCCCATGTTTTTTAGAACTATTTTTTTTCATTTAGAAACAATTATTTTACATATCAAACCCCCTGCCCCCAATCCCTCCCATCCTCCCATGCCCCCTACCAACCCTCCCAATCTCTCCCTTCCTCAAGGATAGTGAGGCCTTCCATGGGGGATCATCAAAGTCTGTTATATCATTTGGGGGAGGGCCTAGGCCCTCCTCCGTGTATCTGGGCTGAAATAGTATCTCTCCATATGTAATGAGCTCCCAAAGTCCATATGTGCACTAGGAATAAATACTGTTTCTACTGTTAGAGGTCCTATAGACTGCCCAGACATCCTTACTGGCACCCACATTCAGAGGGTTTGGTTCAGTCCGGCTGGGGTCCGTGAGCTCCCACTTGGTTAGGTCAGCTGTTCCTGTGGGTGTCTCCAGTATGGTCTTGACTCCTTTGCTCATCCCTCCTCCTTCTCTACAACTGGATTCCAGGAGTTTGGCTCAGTGCTTAGTTGTGGATGTCTGCTTCTGCTTCCATCAGCTACTGGATGAAGGCTCTAGGATGTCAATTAAGGTAGTCATCAATCTCATTATAGGGGAAGGGGAATCAAAGGCCATCTCTCCACTACTGCCTAAATTCTTAGCTGGGGGTCATCTTTGTGGATCTCTGAATATTTCCCTAGTGCCATATTTTTTTCTTTAAGTGTATACTGGCCTCCTCTATTAAGATATCTCTTTTCTTGCTCTCCTCTATTCCTCCCAACTCAGGTTTCCTGATCCCTCTTGTTCTCCTCTCTCCTCTTCTCCCCTTCTCTTTTTCCTACCTCCCGCTCCTCTCCCACCATGCTCCCAATTTGCTCAGGAGATCTTGTCCCTTACCCCTTCTTCGGGGGACCATGTGTTTCTCTTAGGGTTCTCTCTGTTTCCTAGTTTCTCTGGTGGTGTGGATTGTAGACTGGTAGTCCTTTCTTCTAGGTCTAATATCCATGTATGAGTGAGTACATATGATGCTCGTCTTTCTGTGACTGGGATACCTCACTCAGCATGGTTTCTTCCCATTCCATTCATTTGCCTGCAAATTTCAAGATTTCATTGTTTTTTTTTTCTGCTGAGTAGTACTTCGTTGTGTAAATGTACCACATTTTCTCCATCCACTGTTCAGTTGAGGGACATCTAGGATGCTTCCAGGTTCTGGCTATTACAAACAATGCTGCTATTAACATAGTTGAACAGATGTCCTTGTTGTATGAATGTGCATCCTTTGGGTATATGCTCAAGAGTGGAAATGCTGGATCATGAGGTACACTGATTCCCATTTTCCTGAGGAATCTCCATATTGATTTCCAAAGTGGTTATACAAGTTGGCACTCCCATCAGCAATGGAGGAATGTACCCCTTTCTCTACATTCTCTTCAGCGTAAACTGTCAGTGGTGTTTTTGATTTTAGCCATTCTGGCCTGTGTAAGATGGTATCTCAGAGTTGTTTTGATTTGCATTTCCCTAATGGCTAAGGAACGTGAGCTCTTTTCTTAAGTGTCTTTCAGTCATCTTAGATTCCTCTATTGATAATTCTCTATTTAGTTCTGTACCCCACTTTTTAATCGGATTGTTTGGTGTTTTGGTGACTAGCTTCTTGAGTTCTTTGTATATTTAGGAAATCAGCCCTCTGTCAAATGTAGGGTTGGTGAAGATCTTTTTCCATTCTGTGGGCTGCCGTTTTGTCTTGTTGACTATGTCCTTTGCCTTACAGAAGTTTCTCAGTTTCAGGAGGTCCCATTTATTAATTGTCGATCTCAGTGTCTGTGCTACTGGTGTTATGTTCAGGAAGCAGTCTCCTGTACCAATTCGTTGAAGGGTACCTCCCACTTTCCCTTCTAAGAGATTAGGTGTGGCCGGATTTATGGTGAGGTCTTTGATCCATTTGGACTTAAGTTTTGTGCATGGCTATAGACATGGATCTATCTGCAGTCTTCTACATGTCAGCATCCAGTTATGCCAGCACCATTTGTTGAAGATGCTTTCTTTTTTCCATTGTATATTTTTAGCTTCTTTGTCAAAAATCAGGTGTTCATAGGTTTGTGGGTTAATATCTGGATCTTCAGTTCAATTCTATTGGCTTGTCTATTTTTATGCCAATACCAAGCTGTTTTCAGGACTATAGCTCTATAATAGAGCTTGAAGTCAGGGATGGCGCTGCCTCCAGAAGTTGGAAACAGGGTTGTTTCGGCTATTCTGAGTTTTTTGTTTTTCCATATAAAGTTGATTATTGTTCCTTCAATATCTGTGAAGAATTGTGCTGGGATTTTGATGGGGATTATATTAAATCTGTAGATTGCTTTTGGCAAGATTGCCACTTTTTCTATGTTGATCTTACCTACCCAAGAGCATGGGAAATCTTTCCATTTTCTGGTATCTTCTTTATTTCTTTAAAGACTCAAAGTTCTTGACATAAAAGTCTTTCACCTGTTTGGTTAGCGTTATCCCAAGATATTTTATATTGTTTGTGGCAATTGTAAAGGATGATGTTTCTCTGACTTCTTTTTCAGCCCATTTATCATTTGTATATAGTAGGGCTACTGAGTTTTTGAGTTAATCTTGTATCTTGCCACTTTGCTGAAGGTGCTTACCACCTGTATGAGTTCTCTGGTAGAATTTTTCGGGTCACTCATGTAAACTATCATATCATCTGCCAATAGTGAAAGTTTGACTTCTTCATTTCCAATTTGTATCCTCTTGATCTACTTTTGTTGTCTTATTGCTCTAGCTAGAACTTCAAGGACAATATTGAAGAGATATGGAGAGAGTAGACAGCCTTATCTTGTTCCTGATTTTAGAGGAATTGCATTGATTTTCTCTATATTTAGTTTGATGTTGACTGTTGGTTTGATTTATATTGCTTTTATTATGTTTAAGTATGTTTCTGTTATCCCTGATCTCTCTAAGACCTTTATCATGAAGGGGTGTTGGATTTTGTGAAAGGCTTTTTCAGCATCTAGTGAGATGATCATGTGGTTTTGCTTTCAGTTTGTTTATATGGTGGATTACACTGATGGATTTTCTAATGTTGAACCATTCCTGCATCCCTGGAATGAAGCCTACTTGATCATGGTGGATCATTTTTCTGATGTGTTTTTGGATTCCATTTGCCAGTATATTATTGAGCATTTTTGCATCAATGTTCATGAGGGATATTAGTCTGTAATTCTCTTTCTTAGTTGTGTCTTTGTGTGGCTTGGGTAACAAGGTAATTGAAGCCTTGTAAAAAGAGTTTGGCAATGACCCTTCTGCTTCTATTGTGTGGAACAGTTTAATGAGTATTGATATTAGCTCTTCTTTGAATTTCTGGTAGAATTCTGCACTGAAACCATCTGGCTCTAGGCTTATTTTGGTTGGGAGACTTTTGATGATTGCTTCTATTTCATTAGGGGTTATAGGTCTATTTAAATTGCCTATCTGTTCTTGATTTAATTTTGGTAAGCAATATCTATCCAGAAAATTGTCCATTTCTTTTACAGTTTCGAATTTTGTGGAGTGCAGGTTTTCATAGTATGACCTGATGATTCTCTGTATTTCCTCAGTGTCTGTTGTTATGTTCCCCTTTTCATTTCTGATTTTGTTAATTTGCATGTTCACTCTCTGCCTTTTGGTTAGTTTGGATAATGACTTGTCTATCTTGTTGATTTTCTCAAAGAACCAACTCTTTGTTTCATTAATTCTTTGTATTGTTTTTTTGTTTGTTTGTTTCTACTTTATTGATTGCAGCCCTCAATTTGATTATGTCCTGGCATCTACTTCTCCTGGGTGAGTTTGCTTCTTTTTGTTCTAAAGCTTTCGGTTATGCTGTTAGTTTTCTAGTGTGACTATTCTCCAGTTTCTTCATGTGGGCACTTAGTGCTATGAACTTTTCTCTTAGCACTGCTTTCAAAATGTACCATAAATTTGGGTAGGTTGTGTTTTCATTCTCACTGAATTCTAGGAAGTCTTTAATTGCTTTCTTTATTTCTTCCTTGACCCAGGAATGGTGCAATTGTGCATTGTTCAATTTCCATGAGTTTATAGGGTTTCTGCAATTTGTGTTGTTGTTGAATTATAATTTTAAACCATAGTGATCCGTTGAGGTTTGCTATGTTGCCGAGTATGTGGTCAATTTTAGAGAAGGTTCCATGTGGGACTGAGAA